CCACTGAGCCACATCCTCAGCCCTATTTTGTACTTTATTTAGAGACAGGATCTTACTGAGTTGCTTAGTGCCTCAGTCTTGCTGGCTTTGAACTCATGATCCTCCTGCCTCAGCTTCCTGAGATGCTGGGATTACAGGCATGCACCACTGTGGTTGGCAGTTGATATGACTCTTGTACTAGCTGCATTAAGTTACAGATGTATAGTGAAGTAAATGATGAAAGGCTTGGAGATGCTAGACTGTGGGGCTGGAAATGGAAATACAGAAACTACATGGCCTGTAGTCTCTGTGTTCTCATGGTCTTCCTTAGGAGTCTGGTGAGTGGGGATTATGCCTACGAATCTGGAAAGGTATGTGCAAGGGGTGCATGTGGAATTTGGAAAATACCCTTCACAAATCTTGTTTGGATTCTGATATTAAGGGATTTATTTGTTAATTTTGTTGGAAGTGATAACAGTACTATGGTTATAAGCATCTTTATTAGTCAAAGATTATACTAGAGTATTTATAAGTGGAATAATATGATGAATAGGGTTTTTCTTAAATACTCAAACAAAAAAAGGAGGAAAAATGGAAGGGGACAGATAGTTACCACTGAAGCTGAGTGATGGGCGCCTTCCAGTTCTTATCCAACACAGGAAGGAAGCCTAACTCATTCTAAATAGAGTAGTGCCTGTTTTAGCTGCACCAAGCCTTGTGTTTTTTCCACTTCTTCTCCTAAGTTTATTTCCCAAAAGATCCTTCCCAATGATATGCCTCTATGAAGAGTGTGTCACTTATGCTTGGAGGCACATAGCTGAAACCTTGTCAAGACTGACTGACTCAGAATGAAGAATGCCTCTGCTCCGACTACTGTCTGAGCTGGTCAGGTTGGGAATGGGCCCATATCCTCCTAGAATCTGAAGGCCACAGCTGGGTCCTTAGAGTGGGCTTTCTGTTTGTTCTGCTGCCTCTTGGAATAGATATTCTCTGCTCTCACTCCATCCTTGCAGATATTATATCATCTCATCCTTCCAGTCAGCTTTCAGCCAGATCAGTTCCATGCCCCAAAATAGATAGTGGTGGAATTGGGGGATTTGGGCAGAAAGTGACATAATTGGTTCTGTGATACAAATTGTTGTTTCTATAAGTACTAAGAATTAGAGAAAAGTTAGCATCATATCCATGATCCAAAATTAGTCCATGAAAGGAATATAAAATTCTAAGCTATTTTGTTACGTTGGGTAATATGACATATTCAACAAACATTTATTTAGAAATAAACACTTATTAAATGCTAAATATGCAAAGATAAAGGAGATATTTCTTTCTTCTTCTCCTCCACCTCCTCCTCCTCCTCCTCCTTCTTTTTTTTGGACCTGGGATTGAATCCAGGGATACTTAATGGCTGAGTGATATCCCCAACCCTTTTTATTTTGAGACAGGGTCTCACTAAGTTGCTTAGGGCCTTGCTAAGTTGCTGAGATTGGTTTTGAACTTGAGATCCTTGTGCCTCAGCCTCCCCAGCCACTGGGATTATAGGCATGCACCACCACGCCGGGCTAAAGGAAACATTTCTAATAGCATAGTGGAGGAGGCAGCCATTGAGTTAATGGTTAAGCAGTAAGTGACATGACAGAGGGAAACTCTAGGTGCTATGAATGTGCTAAGGAAGTACATCTAATGTAGCTTGTGTCAGGGAAGTAGTTGTAGTTGAGCTTTGAAGAATTTTTAGGAGTTGGTCAAGCAGAGAAGTATAAATTTTATTCCTATAGTAGAGAGTGTGCACAAAACCATGGATGAGTAGGAGCATTGTGAGTTGGAACTTTTGCAAGTTAGTGTGGCTGAAACCTGGTACACATGAAAAAGAACAGAAGATGAAGCTTGACAGTTAAGTAGGGTGCCATTTTTGTTGGGTGTCATATGCTAAGATAATTGTTTGGACTCCAACAAACAGCAGAGAAAGACAATATGAATTTTAGAAAAGTCACTCTGGATGTCATGTGGAAAAAGAATCAAAAGGGAATAAGTCTGGTTATCACAGCAATTAATCTAGGCAAGAGGTTGTTTGAACTTGAATTAAGGTGATGTTAGTTGGATGGAGAAAATAGTAGATCTTAGAGATGATATTTAGATAGAATCAGTAGGACTAATAAGTAGAATCTATTAGACAGGGGAGACACAAGCATAGTGGATAAAGACTGATGTGCTGTGGTGCTTATGGAGGAGGTCCAATTTTCTGCTGACCCTCTCATCAAAACAAGAAGTTAAAAAGGTATCAGGCAAAATTGTTTACTTGAATGATTATGATGAATTGTATGGCAATCCATATTTGAGAAATATGTCCAAATACTTTTTGTTTATATCGTCATTTCTTAATGGAAAGGTTAGACTGAAAAGAAGATGCCCTAAAAAGGAACAATGACAGCAAATCCTTTGAATCTTAGGCTTCATGTAATGCTAGAAGAAATCAATAAAAAGTAAGATGGAATTAGAACATATATTATCAAATCTACATTAATAACCAACATTTGCAAAAAATGTGGGGAAGTATTATTTTAATTTCTCAGTTGGCAAAACCAGAACAGAACAAAATAAATAAGAACCCCCGAGGCTCTAAGATATTAAATGGTTTGCCTGAGGTCACACATAGCTATAGGTGAGAACTCCTCTATCCAGGGCTCTCTGCAGGGCAGCAGGATAACTCTAGGACACATGCCTAGCCTGGTAGGGTCCAAGTAATGAAAAGTAGAATCACAATGGACAATCTGAAGAAAAAAATGTCTACCACAAATGATACTAAAGCACCTATAAACAGCTTTTGAATATGTATCAAGAGAAGTGATTATTCTGGAGTTCTGTTGGAATGAGAGTCAGAAGGAAATAAATCATGAAAATAATTCTGCATTTTTACATATTATACAGGTATATTTTAACAGAAGTTATTTGTGTAAATGCTGTTATAATTTTAAATAATTTTTAAGAAAGTATCCATAGACCATAAGTTAGTTTACATTTAAACTTTCAACCTATTCCAACCACTGTGGTACTCCTGGCCATCTGCTATGTGCCTAGAATTGTGACACATTCAAAGGGAATTACATATGAAATATAAGACAGTTCTGTCTTCAAGGGTCTTAAAATGCCAAGGAACCTGGATTTGAAACTAATTTGGAACCATCTAACATAGCTTATACTCAGTAAAATATGTATATAATGAAGTAACAAAGGGGGCAGGTCAGTAGTGCCCTGGATTCAGAAAAGGGAGATATCAGTGATGCCTGGAGTCAATTAGAGACTTCATGAATGATGTGACTCTTAAGATGGACCTTGAAGAATGGAAAATGATTTGATTTCGTGGAGAGGGCTAATTTCAAGCAAATAAACTAGTTTTTAGACTAGTTTATTTTGAAAAACAAATAGAACAACTAATTTGTATCAAAAAACAAATAGAAATTTAGTTTAATAGTTTATCTCTTGACTACAATGTTACTTAATGAGATATTGAAAACAACCTAAATGTCAAACAATACAATAAGGGAAATATTTCTAATTGAATATTATTAAATGAATAAAAATAGAGAATGTGGTCCAGTAGAAAAGCATGGCCCACAGCCAGTTAAACTATCAGTTCTACCACTTACTTAGGACACATCACTTACTGTTTTTGAGCTTTGGTTTATTCAGCTTTAAATTGGAATGATAATACCACATGGAAAAGTTATTGTGAGAATTAAAAATAATGTTTATAGAGCACCTTGTACATAATGGATACTCAATATATGTTATTATTCATGCTTAATGAGATATACTCTGCTGGAAGGTACTAGGTACTGTTTTCTTGAAGGACAGTTTCTCAATTTTTCCCAAAAGTTTGAAATGGATATTTTCTACTTGACTCAGTGATTTCATGATTGAAAATTTATTCTAAGAAAATAAAGAGGGCTGTTGTTGTAGTTCAGTGGAAGAACACTTGACAGGCACATGTGAGGGACTGGGTTTGATCTTCAGCACCAAATAAAAATAAATAAATATAATAAAGGTATAAAAAAGAAAATAACTAAAGATATGTGCATATTTTTGAAAATATATTCTTTCCAGCATTGAATAGAACCGTGAAAAATAACCTCAAGTCTCACAAATAATTGATGAAATAAATTGTGATTCACTTCAAGAAGAAATTAAAAGGTGATAAAATAATGTAGAAAGGAATTTCATGTATAAATTAAGAAAAACAGATTCTGAAACTATATACAATTTAATCCATTTTTATGAGTATATAGTTATGCAGAGAAAATGTTAATTATGGTTTGTCCCTGAGTAGTGAACCTTTAGGTGATTTTTATTTTCTTCATTGTACTTACCTGAATTTTTTTTTTGCTTTGATGATAATGAGGATAGATAAAACTTAAAAAAAAAAAGAATGGATCACTTTTAAGCATACTTAGTGACATAAGGAAATGTTTAAGATTTAAAGAAAAAAGATTCAAAGTAACTTAATCTCTGAATCTTGGTTTTGTGACTGTTTCCTCAGAAAAAGTAGCAAAGTTTCCAAGAAAATGGTGGGGATATAATGGGACTAAAGTAGCTGAGAGTGGACATTAGATTTTTATGTGCACATAAAAAAATCATCAGTTTCTTGGTGATGGATGAAAATAATCACTTTCTCAGACTGCTTTTGTTTTTTTCTTCATTTTCATCACAGCTTGAACAGTTAGCTTTCTTAACTATAAAAAACAAAAGTTTTAATTGCTGTAAAAAGCCACTCTCCCTCTCTGCCTATTTTCCTTTCATCTTTATGAGGAACTCAGTCCTTGCTAGGCCCTGGGGATCCACAGTAGTGAGCCAGAAACATGGTTCTTGGACCTCTCTGTCCTTTTTTTTTTTTTGCACCAAGCAGGTTTTGAACTCAGGGGCGTTTAACTACCAAGCCACATCCCCAGCTCCTTTCACACTGAGTTGCTTATGGTCTTACTAACGAGCAGAGGCTGGCTTTGAACTGCTGCTTTAGCCTCCCAAGCTGCTGGGGTTACAGGTGTCTACCACTGCACCTGGCTTCTCTCTGTCCTCTTGAAAGAGATTATGAATCTCACCCAAGTAAATGTATAATTACAAATTGTGCTAACTACTGCAAAGACAAAAAGCAAAGAACAAAAAAACCAAGTAGGGTGTTTATATCAGAGAAAAAAGGGGCTGGGGATCTAGGTATCAGGTCAGACAGGAGGTCAACAAAGATCTCCCTGAGGAAGCAGCAAGTATAGTCAGGCAAAATGTGGAGGGACAGCACTCTAGAGACGAGAACATGCATCAGGTTTTCAGGTAACGAACAATTATGTGTATTAAAAAAAACAAAAACAAAAACAAAAACTGGACAAGAGCCACTGAGTCTGGCCCTTGAGACGAAACACCAGATTGGAAGAAGGCCTAGAACCTTGTATGATACAGGAAGGGTTTTGGATTTTGTCCTGAGGGCAGCAGGCAGCCATTGAAGGATTTTAAGCAGAAAATTATGTGAAACATTTATAATTTAAAAGATCTCTGTGGCTGTTCTAAGGAGAAACTGAAGAGAGGAAAGAGAGAATCCAAAAGATGAGTTTGGAGGCTTTGGGCATGGTCAGGTGGTGGTGCCAAGTGAAAGATGAAGAACAGAAGACAGTTTGGAGGTGTATTTTGGGATAATGTGGCTGGGACTTAGTGATGGATTGTGTTCTGTGGGGAACAGAGATCTTCCAGAACACTTTGTGTGAGTAGTGACTTGTAGATTATCAGAGGATGGAGATGATTTCTTCTGTGGGGGAGGAGAGAATTCAGTGGTGGACATGTTTACATTGAGATATCTATCTGTAAGATCACCAGGTAGAGAAACTGAGTCCATGACGCTTATTATTTAAAAGGTCTGTGCATATGGGATGTATATATATGTATGTATATATGTATATACGTACACATGTTATGTACTTATTATGATGATTATCATTATTATTACTATTTATAAAGAGTATTTGGCCCATAGGTAGTACTGAATGGAAGGAATGGTCACAGAAAGGACATTCAGAGAGAAGAGCAGAGAGGGTAGGGTTGAGTCCTGATGAATTCTGACATTTAAACTTCAAGTAGAAGAGGAGGTAGCAAAGCACTTTGAGAGGGATGCATTAGGGATGTGTTCCAGGGGAGGAAGCCCAGGAATGTGATGTCAGGGAAGCCAAGGGGAGATGTGTTGAGGAGGAGGACTGACTGTGGCATGTGCTGAAAGGTCTAGTCCTGCGATGGAGGACTAGGTAGGACCCCCTGGTTTGGGAATCTGGAGGCACTAGATGATTACTGGGAAAGCAGACTCAGTGCAGTGGTAGAAGCATGAGCCAGACTGGAGAGAATAGGGGAAAGGAGAAGAAGTGAAGAAGAGACAGGAAGGTGGGTTCTACTCTTCAGAATCTCTGAAGGCAGACTCCAGTAGCTGGGGGGAACGAGAAGGAAAGGGGAGGGGTTTCTTTTGTTTTTACCTTTGAATCAGGACATTCTATAGTTTGTTTAAATGCTGATGGCAATGATTTAGTAAAGTGTGAGAGATTTATATTGTAGAAGGGATGGCTGATGGATGGAGAGCTCATGGAGAGCTGATGGACTGGTGTTTGATTGGACAAGGAAAGGAGATGTAAGTAGGTCTTCGACACCTTCTATATGTCAGGTATTACTATATGCCATGCTAAGTGATTTGCACAGTTACTGATTTACTATTCACCATAGCCCTATTAGGTTGATATGAATATCCCCATTTTACAGAGGAGGAAACTGAGGTTAAGTGGAGATAGAGCCAAGGTCTTAATTCAGAACTGTTTGATTTCAGAGTTCATACTCTTATAGGATTTCCTCTGTGATGGTGAATTAGTTTGCTCTTGCTGCCATAAAAGTATCATTTAAATTGAAATTTATTCTCTCACTGTTCTGGAGGCTTGCAGTCCAAGATCAAGGTGTTGGCAGGTTTCATTTCTCCTGAGGCCCTTCTCCTTGGTCTGCAGATAGTCGCCTTCTTCTTATCCTCACTTGGCCTTTCCTCTGTGCCTCCTGTGTGTCCTAATCATTTCTTATAAGAACACCAGGCAGACTGAATTAGGGCACACCACCATTTCGGCTTCATTTTAACTTAGTTACTTCTTTAAAGGCCTTATCTCCAAATGCAGTCACATTTTGAGGTTAGAGTTTCAGCATATGAATTTCCAAGGAACATAATTCAGTCCATAGCAGATGACTTCTTAAAGCGTAAGAAAAGGGGCAGCCCTGGGCAGTCCTGAAGAGTATGTAATCATAACTGAAGAGCATAGAAGACTGTTAGAGAGATGTGGCCTTAGAAGCAGTTGAGGTTGGAGATCATTTGCATCTACCTATCCTGCTCAGCTAGCAGCAGTAGTCAGTGTATGCATGAGTGAAGAACAAGAACTCTGCGCTCCAAGGAGGCTGCTGGGTGTGCACAAGGCCTTATTAACCAAACAACTGACAATCTTTTGTGTGCCCTGTTAAAATGCAAATGAGTTTTACTGATATCCTCAGCACAATTACAAGTTACGGTTTGCCAAGGACCTTTCTGGATGTTCTCAAATAGTTCGAAACATGAAGATGAAATCTCTGACTGCATTCACCACTACACAGATTACCTGGAACATTTTTCCCAGCTTGTTCTATAAGCTGTCTTTTGTAATTACTATTTTGTTCTTTCTCTGCCCTCTTCTTTCTTCCTTTTCCCCCTACCTTCATTCATTAGTAATTTAATGAGTACCTAATAGGTGTCTAGCATTAAGGTTAAAGATCCAGTATACGTATGTACATATACTGGACATATATGTACATACACACTGCACACACACATATATATACACGTATATATCTAAGTGATAAGTGCTTTATTAAAGTGTCAATGAATCCTGTGAATATATTGAGTACCTACTAAATGACAGTGTGTTAGGCTTGGGATCCAGGCCTGAGTAAGATATAGTTGCTGCCTTCAAGAAATTTTTATAATCTGGTATAGAAAAATTAACAGGTAAGTGAAAAAAGATAATACCATGTGAGTTTGTAAGATGTTAAAAGATCTCAAAGAAGACAGGACCTCTAGTTTGCTTTCTCATGCATGTTTAGATACCTATTAAAAGGAGCTATTACTGCATTTTCACAAAAGGATATAAAAAGAAAACTCGTTTCACAAACATTTTTGAGTTTTGTATTTGTTGTAGGGTGACAGTTGTAGCTTGAATTATGAGCAACCATTGAGTTGGGGGAATCTACAACTTTTCTTTTCTTTAGAGCTCATTGTCCACACTATCAACTCCTTTTTTAGGTGGTGGAACAATTAATGGTATACCTGACACACTCTACAGAAGCCTGCTAAGTATTAAGACTTGAGAAAAGCTGCAGTAACAAAGCATTATTGTGATAGTGGGCGAGCAGAGAGTGTAGGCTGGCCTAGCATACATCTCGGATACTTAGGATTTAGAACTGTGTATTAACAGGGGTTTCTTGTACTGTGATTTTTAAAAACTATGATGAACAGCAGATTAAAAATACTGAGAAGAAGATGGTGTGCAGATTATGTAATTGATATATTTTCAAGTATCACCTATTTGTACCTTACCTCAGGAAAATAAGTTGTTTACAACCAAACACTCATGGAGTTAATTAAGATGGACATAAATGTGTTGCTTTCTTTGGAGCTGATGCACTATTTAAACAAAATATTATTGTCTGCAGTTTCAACATTTCTCTGGGAGAATGCTAACCATATTATAGAAATAGTTCAGGAAGTAGAAGGGAGAAAAACAAATCTGATAAATGGTGTATGTAGATTGTAGGTTCAATGATTAACCTAATAATGTCTGAAGATTGCTTTGATGTCATGCAATGAACATTGACTGTGCATGTTGACTTCATTTCACATTTGTATTCTAGATAGTATCATAGTGGAAAGAGCACTGGATTGGGAATCAGGAAAGTTATAAGATAGTCTAGCTCTGCCATTTCTCCCTTGTGTGTCTCATTTCCCCATCTTTAAAATGAAGTGGTTATGGGAAATGGCCTCTGAGCACCTCCCAGTTCTGATATTTTATTGTTCTGTGATTCTACATCCCATGCCTATCAAAAGCATTTTGACTTTCTTTAAGTTGCTTAAGACAGCATTTCAGTTAGAATGTATCCAGCTTATTTCCATGGGCTATTGGGAACAGCAAGGCCTTGCTTCTCCAGGACTTGATATATCTTCTGTTAACCGCTGACAGTGAGCCATACCACCTAAAAGGCTCCTTTGGTAGCCTTAAAGATTGAAAGGACAAATGGACAGTATTGAGAACTCTGTGGAAGAGGAGACCAGAGAGACGTTGATCATCATGGCTCCTTGGGATTTGCAAAGAGGAATGACTAGAACTGGGCCATTCACTACTGCCAGGTCAAAGGTCAGGTCAGGAATGTGGACAATGCTGGTGACTCCAGGTAGGTCTAGGAGGGTAAAAAAAAAAAAAAAATAAACAAACAAAAAAAACCCAAATACCTATTTAGTCCCTCCTGAATCTTGAGAAGATCTGGGCAGCCAAGCTCAGAAAGCAATTAGGAAGTTTCCTAATTTATGAAATTCTTTGGAAGAAAAGTATGATATTTACTTTTTATATCTTTATTACTACACAATCATTATATTCTTACTTAATACTCACCAAACAGATCTACTCTTGGCATTAACTAACATGCTTTCATGGTCACTTATTGAATTAAAAAGTCTGATTTTAATTGATGCTATTATGCAATGGATTCCCTATTTTTTAAAAAGGATTTTTGGAGTGTAGTTGAAAGATCTTCAAGTTTTTCCCTTCAATTTTAGTTAAGCAATATTAAATATAACTCTCTGGTGACAGAGATTTATATCTATTATTATTTTTCTAATAATAACTAATTTGGGGGTAATTAGCTGCTTGTAGTATTGCTTTTCTTAGTGATTAAATAAAGGAATGGAATTTGTGAATAGCATATTAAATTAGGAAACTAAAATAATTTGTGTGCTGAATACAATAAGAAATTAAAAGACTTTTGTAATCTAGCATGGAATTTCAGTAAAAATTCACAAATATGTTCTGTAAAATACTGATTAAATTAATAACTATGTCTAATACATATTACAAGATGATTCTTCTTCTTCTTCTTTTTCTTTTTTTTGCTTTTATCTAGTTGCTTCCAAGATCCGGTACTTGCAGGAATATCATAACCGGGTTCTTCACAACATTTATCCTGTACCATCAGGAACAGATATTGCAAACACCTTGAAATACTTTTCTCAGACCTTGTTAAGGTAAGCCTTAAAATAGCCTCCACTTTGAGAGAATTATTAGGTAGTACTGCTGAATTTATTGGGACCTAGATTTCTATTAAACTGAAAGTTTTGAAGGACATTAAATTTTCTAGTGCTCTGCCAGAAGAGTCTGGACACCAGTTCTCTGGGTGTATATAGCAGATCAGATCCCAGGCCTAACTGGAAAAATGGATTGCATGGCTCTTGCCTGCTTTTTCTCAGTTGAATGACTTGTCAAGTGATAGATAAGTGGTAAAAGTTCTGTCTTTGGCACTAAATCAGTGTGGGATTAAAAGGAAATCTTATATTGCTTAAAATCAATCTTTTGGTCTTATCATTAGTGTTTCCTACTTCCCAATATTACCTAATATATGGTAATAATAGTTATTTTTTAACCTGCATAACACTTCAAGTGTTTAACATGTTTTACTATTGATAACAGAAATTCTGTGGAGTTCAAGGAAACAAAACAGGAGCTCTTGTACTGTCTACTTTTACTACAAGGTTGAACCCAAGAGCCTTTTGATTTTACACTTCTCATTAGAACAAGTGAACAAAGGTGATTTTTCAAGCAAAGCCTCAATTATTTTGGGGAAATAACTGCAAAGAAGTCAGAATACCCCACTTCCCAATTAAATTTCATGGCTTGGTCTTTTCCATCACAATGTTCTTCTCCTTCAAGTCTGATTTTCAAAACACATAATTTGATTTGCTACTATCTTGTCTCTTCTAGCTTTAACACAGCAGATGTTTTCTAAATTATTTGGAGAAGAATGTAAATTGGAATGATTGTAATGGCACTGGAGTTTCCAGTGCTCTGTGACTTTGCTGTGGGCAGGTTGTATAAAAGAAGCTGTATGCCAGCAGATTGGTCAGTAGTCTTCTGCAGCTCCTGTCTCTCAGCTCTCCTTTTTCTTTGGAGGATCTTTTCATCTTTAGAACCCTTAGTATTGCTGTTCTAGATTGGAGGGATTCTGTTCATTGATGCATAGATGCCAGATTTGCATAGTAAGTTTAGGACCCTGTTATAGGATATTTCCCTTCTTTTCAAATTGCAATATGTAATTAGCCCTGTTCTTATAGTAATAATCAGATAAATTTAAGAATCAAGGTATTTTACTCTATATTTTGAATTCTCCTTTTTGTTTTTGAGGTTGGGGTTTTCAATGGGAAACACTTTTCCTTTACCACAAGTTCAGAAAGTCTCAAAGTAAGAGACACTTTGCAGTAGGAAGCATTGTGAATTCCATTTGCAAAGAAGCTGTGACATCCCAGTTAGCACTTCAGAGTTTGCTGCTTAGGTCTTAATAACTGTGCCAAAAAGTTAAGAAATTTAGGGTACTGAAGTCATGTTTATAAGACATGAGATTCTATTTTCTTGAGCAGTCAGTCATTGGAATATGATCATGGGTGGTAGCATTTTAATGGTTAAGCTGGTTGAAGTGGCTTGTGGATATTCTGTGCAGTTGAAATGAGTCCATTTTCAAAGGGAGGTAGTTACAGTAACTTCTCCTAATGGTAATAATAGCAATAACTATCATCATAGCAATATTGTGTTATAATAAAATTGTATGTATTAATCATTATTCTAAGCACTTTAAATGTATTGTCTATTTAATCCTTCATAATGAAATAAGTGAATTATTATACCTGTTTTATAGATAATGAAACTAAGGTACAGAGTGGTTAGATAAGTTTCTCAAGGTTATTTATCTAATATGTATTAGAACCAGGATTTGACATTGGTGATCCTACTCTCAGCAGTTTGATAGCCCCTACTCTCAACAGTTTGGCTGTACTGCTTCTTCTTAGTGCCACTATTTAATTATAGTGGTGGGACACTTCTTTTAGTAACAACTTGGTTTGGCTTTTGGGAATGCCTAGTTGAGTCATAGAATAGTTTTGGCTATCTTTGAGATAAGGGAAGAAAGGGAGTGCTTATCACAAGCTTTGCTGTCTTTTCCGAAGTTGAACAGTTGTATCTGAGGCAATGTGGACAATGTTTCGGTTCTCACATGCTTTATTTCTACCTTCCACTGATCCTTCCTGGAGATTTCCTAAACTTTAATCATGAAAGGGAGTCCTGTGTAGAATTGGGCTTGCTAGCCATTGTGCCTAGAGTGGTGTTTGGCCCTTAGAAAGGGATTAGTAAACATTTGTTGAATTGAATTGACTTTGATCAAATTTCATCCAGTGCAGAAAACTTCTAGGCATTAACTGAGTCTAGTAGTGAACTGAGGTCCTAGGTAAAATTACATCTGAGTGCCGAGTTGTGCTCCTTTTCATTTAGCAGGGACCTAATTCTGGCAGAGGCACATAGTTTACACACAACTTGAGAGTTTAGTTTTTTTGTTTGCTTTTATCAGAGGCAACTATAAAAATCATTTAGTTGTATCCCCTTACTACTGTAGAGGATTCTACTTATTTTAGATTAGAAGCATTCTGTGGTCATATTTTAAGCATCTAAGGTCTTTAAAGATCCTGCTTTTTACCTGCCAGAACATTAAAGGATCCCAATCTTCTATTGCAAACATTCTTTTGGAATTCCTTTTCTCAGCTCTCTCTTCTAGTGCTGTTCAAGCGGTTAGCATGTAAATCTTTAAAAAAAATCTCCTTACATTTGGGGAAAGATACTTGCTGCTAACTCTTTAGAAAATTTCAAATATGTTTTTAAATGAGATTCTATTGTCAGCCCAATAATTTCATTGAATAGTAATTTGTAATTGCCTATGAAGAATATATCTATGTATCTATGTATCATGGCATAATCAAGTAAATTCTGTTTACAGCATAGACACAATTCAAATGTCAAAATTCACAATTGTGTAGAAAATTTATTTGCCATATAACTTTCTTTGCTATAAATACCTCAGGGTGATTTCTCCTCTTCCCCTACCCCTGCAGAAGCCCTCTTCTCTTGCCTTTTCTTGATCATGGAAGCCAGCTTGAGAAGGGGACCTCAGGAGGGAAAAGGGAATGTGAAAAGTCAACTACTGGGTCTAACTCTTCTGAGCAGGGCATCTTAATATTCTGTTTGGTTGGGTGTATAGGCCTCCGGGAAAGAATTTCAGATGGGAAAATGGTTTGATCTTTCCCAAGGTAGACAATTTGGTTGGGGAAATAAGTTTTTTTTTCTCTGAATAAACTTCACAAAGCATCATAAAATCACAATGCATTGTACATTTATTCATGAGCCCTTCTTAAGTTTTTCCACAAATGAAAACATTTCCGTACATTGAGACATGAATGTAATTTAAAACTGGTTTCATGGATAACTCATTTCCGCCATTTTTCTCAACCTCACCTACTTATTAAACCCAGAAGCAGTGAGTGAGAGCTTTACTGTTTCAGTGCTGACATTCTTCCCTCCCTGCATGTAGGACACTGTTGTTGCTATCATTTGGGAACCCCACATATACAGGAAGGGAAAAATATCAACGTAGAACCTCCAAATTTGATTTGATGAATGCTTGATAAATTATTTCAAACTTTGGAAAAATAGTAAGGTCTGTTTGAAAAAAATGTGTTATATTTCCCCCACCAAGGAGAATTTTGATAAGATCATTGAAATTAATTCAGAAGGAGTTTTAAATATCATTAGTTCATGATATTCAGCTATTTTTATTCTGAAAGGCAAGATGTTGCTGCTCTTGTTATATCCCTTTTGTAAAATCCATATCTTATAATTTTGAAAAGAGGCTGATGGTTAGCCAATTCAGGGTTAAAGTTTGAGAAATAATAAACTGACTTATATCTATTGTGATTCAAAAGGAATTTTCAGTGGGATAGACTCCTACAGGATTTAAACAAATTTTTTGGTGACTGGGCTTGTCAAGAATATGACACTTAAAGGTGACACTCTTAGGAGTACTTGAGTTCTATGACAAAAGTATGAAGTCTGATGGAAAATCTGATGGCATTTATAATAGGTATAGGCAGGCAGTGGTAACTGGAATGTTGATTTTATCCTATTGTAAAGTATAAGCTTACGAAGTCAAATACATCACACACGAACAAGCTAGATTAAATTCCTTTAAAAGCCAAAACCAAAAATTACACCAAATTTTAAGTTATTTATTGCTAAGAAGTATTACATAACTATTCTGAAATTATTTTTATTATCAATTGTTTTTCCCTGGACTTGGGTAACAGAAGACAAAGGAAATCGAGGTAAATTAGGCACATGGAAATTAAAAAGCATGTAGTCATTTTTTTTACATTATAACTTTTTTTTGTGCTAAGAATAAATAAAAATTAATGTAAATGTGACATAACAAGCATGCTTGACACTAACCAATTCCTCACATCACTATAAAACTATAGATGTGATATCTAACTAAAATCTTAGCCATGTTTAATGTGCATAGAATAAATGTAAAATAAGGTCATTTTATGTAATGAAACATTTATAAATTGTTATCTGTTTTGACTAATGTAAGTGGACAAGCATAAGTGAAAAGCACATTGTAAGTGCTGCAGACATTATTATAATGTGTAGATATTATCTTTAGTGATAAATAGTATAATCTAGTCTTAAAAACGTAAATATTTGGCTAAGCAGTAATTTCTTTTTTTTTTTAAATCAACAACTTTTCTGCTTTAACTAAAACATTTTTATTTTAAAATTAAGGCTAAAAGAAAAACCATTTTTAGAAGTTATTTTTATTCCCATTAAACTTTTTTTAACTTTCTAAATTATCTTTCCTTTAGTTTTTAGAGTTTTGTTGAATAATAACGTAAGTAGCAGTAGTAACATATGAGATCTTATTGTATGTTGGGCAGCTATGTGACAGATACTGCTTGCTTAGTCTTTAGAATTTTGAAGGTAATTATTTAATAAGCCAGTGTTTGTATTCATAAAAATAAATTGTTTTCTCCCCAACACACAAAATTAAAACACACACACACACATAAATAACCATTATCATTAGTTCACAAACATATGCTATGGACCATCTACTATATATTATTTTATAGCTTTTCCAATGTAGTTTAGCTAACATTTTAGAAATATGTATTATTTCTAAATTCATATGCCTGTTTAAACTTCATTATCTCAAATGATACTGACAGAATGTCATGAAACAGTATCATAATATACATATAGACATTATTTTGGTGCAATAAACATGTGATTTTTAAGACTTTCTTAATAAACACACATGTTTATTCTTTGCTAAAACATGTTTCTGCAAGTGCCATACCTATGTTTTGCAAGTTTCTGTTTGCTTGGTTCAGACGGTCTTGCTGAAAACTTCTTTTCTTTGAAAGCTCCTTGTAATTAGGAATAAGAGCCCTTCCTAATTAGACAAAGCCATTGCTTTTACTTCCAGGAAACCTCTCCTTCACCAAATTGACAAACTGTAAAACATAGGTTTGGCACTGAAACATGCATTTTTATATTTTTGCTCCTTACTAACCAGATAACACATGAGATGCAATGAAACTTCCACAAAGTAAACCTGTGTTATTGGTACCTCTGAGCAAAGCTATGTGACCAGTACTAGATTTGTAGATCCTGCTGGTGTGGCAATTGCATCTTATGTGGGATGTATCTGGTGTTTTATTATTTGTTTTAGAGTGTCATTTCAATGTAATGTGCTGTTCTTTGTGTCTTTGTTGTCTCTTTTTTTTCTTTGTCCCCCCAACAGCATTTTGTCCCGCACAGGGAAGAAGGAAAACCAAGATGCCTCCAATTTGACAGTGCCCATGACCATGTGTCTTTTTCCTGTGCCATTCCCACTCACCCCATCTCTAAGACCGCAGGTCAGTTCCATCAACCCTACTGTTACTCGCTCCCTCCTTTACAGCGTCCTGCGAGATGCTCCTTCAGAACGCGGCCCGCAAAGTCGTGATGCTCAGTTGTCAGACTACCCTTCTTTGGACTATCAAGGCCTCTACGTGACTTTGGTGACTCTCCTGGATCTAGTTCCTTTACTACAGCATGGCCAACATGGTGAGCATTTAATTGAAACCTTTGGAAATGTACATGTATGTTCATGAATATGTATGATGCTGAGCACGGGACATGGAGATTTTGTTGTTGATGTAAATTGCTTGAAAGGGCTTTGTGTGGGCTGCAGCCTTTCTTACAATGAAGCTTAATTATGGTGTTTCCCATGCTATCCTTTTACACTGTTGTGGTGCTCAGGGATATTACCCAGCAGGCCTGTGTTGGGGGCAGAGGGGCTGGAGACGGGAGGAAGACTCTCGGGAGGCTCTCTCTTCTCCTTTGATTACTTTATCAAGGGAGGACTCAGTGAGGACTCATTGAAATCAAAATTGGGGAGCTAAGATTTTAAAATTTGCTTTGAAGAGCAGACTGTAACCACTGATTGATTTTTTTTTTGAGTTTTGGGGACAAATCACAAACTCTTTCTGAGACCCATTTTTCCTGACTCAAAAGTCAGGGGGTTAGATAAAATGAACTTTCTAAGAACTTCCAAATTCACTAAGAACTTCAAATAATTATTACAAAATGTTGTAAAATGTTACAGTACAGAGTGTTAGTGGCGATTTAGCATAGAAGCCAGAGAGCATACTTCCTTTCTTATTGCTTTTCTCTTTCTTCTGTGTCTTCAGTAGATTTCATTATCTTGCTTGCTATTAAATTCTTCTAATCTATAAAAGGGAGTATAGTAATGTCTACTGTTAACTATCTAATATGTATTTGAGAGAATCAAATGGAAAACCATACAGTAAGAAAAGAGTTTTTTTGCAGAAACTGTACCTTAAAATGTTAGTAGTGTAGATCTTAAAATACTGAAATTTGGTCCCTAGAAGTATGATAACCAAAGTTTCACTGTACAGAAAAGCTGGAGTCTTGGGAAACTGGTGGGCGGTGGGAGTTATTTTGCCTTTTAGTTATAGTTAATTCTCCTAAGAGAATCCTTAATGGTTTATTTTGTATGATGTTTCCCTGATTTAAAAAAAAATAATGTCTACTTTCACAAAGATGATGAGATAATGATTATTGAATTTGTTTTTTTACATTTATAATTCTGCATTATAGTGAATATAAAAGTGTAGAAGTTTATAAAGTTACTTATTGTGTATTTTTGTGGCTGTCTGAAAGCTTAGCTGCTTCTATTGTAATCCTTTCCCAGCTCAGAATCTTAGTGAGGCTAATGTGAACATCAGACTGTCAGAGCTTACTATGGTGGTGAGCTCCTCAGTGCCTCCCCTTTGTGACATTCAGTTCTGAACTCATCACGGACCTGTCTGCTCCTGTCCATGGGTTTGGGAAGCTGCCCTTTATCTTCAAAGTCCCTTGATTAAGATAAAGATATTCAATTTTGTAAATTGCAACCCATATAATTGCAATTAATGTGTGAATTGTGACAATTTCAAGGGAGATGATTTATATTTTTGCTCTTATAACTGTTTTGTGACTTTCCTCTTTATTGATATCTATAACTTTCTTGTTCTGCATATTTGAGCTTAAAAAATAGGAAAGTACTCACTAGTTCATTCTAGTGAATGGTTCAGAGAAACACATGAGCATGGTCTGAAGAGTCTCAGAATCTCCAAGGAGTTTGTGACGTGGAGTTCTTGCCTAAGAGTTATTGAGGGTTGGGTCCTGAGACCTGACATTTTAGCCAGCTTCCTGTGGATGCTACTTTTGCACACTGAGACTGAGAATCCTGCACTGTGGTGGTGATTGTGTCCTCTTTCTGGGTCTGGGGCCCTGCAGGGAAAAGCATTAGGTAGGGCTTTTGTAACATGTCAGCTAACATTCTCAGGGGATCTTGGGCATTCGCTTCCTCTCTCCAGGTCTCAGTTTTCTAGTATGAAAAAATACTCTAGGTGAACTCCCAGACCCCTTGGGTTGTTAATGTTCTGCACTTTGGCTACAGGGCTCAGTCGAAAGCAGCTAAGGTTATCTTTTATGGTAGTCTCAGATAACTCTTAGTAAAACACCTGTGAATTTTCCATTTCATTGATTTGAGCCCAGGGATTGACTGATCCTGGCTCCCCAGTATGCAGTGTGGCCATGTTATCTCCATTGTCAGTTGATAGGCCTGCTGAGATGCCAGAGTAATTCTAATGATAATCAGAAATGACATTCAGGATCAAAATGACACAAAGGAAGTAAATCTGCAAAACAGGCAAGAATCTAATACTTTACTATTTCTATGAATGCAAATATGATTTGTCAAATCTTGGCTGATGGCCTACATTTTGGGAGGTCCAGAAATATGAAAATGTACATTTAGTATAATGGAATTTGGTCTACATGCATTCTAAAGCTAAATAGTTGTGGTTTTACTAATGTCCACTATTTTTACTTCTTGTGCAGGTAATAATAATAGTAACTGTTAACATTAATAGTAACAGCTCTTATTTGTGGATTGCACATTATGTGCTATGCTAACCTCTTTACATTTATCACATTTAAAACTCCTAACAATCCTAATGAAGTGAGGTAGGTATTGCTACTATCCCCATTTTAAAACTTTGATAAGTTATTATTAGGAGGCACGCACTTCTATGGTGACTGATGACTAAATGCACAGGATCACACAGTGCTAGCTCATAATTTCCTTTCTTTAGTGAGTGCTGGATTTGTTACTCTATGGAGGTTAAAAATTACCTCATGGGGTTTGGGGGTTATAGCTCAGTGGGAGAGCGCTTGCCTCGCACATGTGAGACACTGGGTTCGGTCCTCAGCACCATCTAAAATAAATTAGTAAATAAAATAAAGGTATTTTCTTAAAAATTACCTTGTTGCCTAGTATTCCAGATGTAGAACCATTGTAGCTTTGATTGGTGGAACAGAAATAGCCTAGCGTTATCTCTATTCCTACCTCAGTGACCTTTTATAAACTTTCAGGGGGCAAATAATCTAACATCTCTATGCCTCAGTTATCTTGTGTAAAAATAAATGGAGGTAAGAATGCTGGAGGGATTCAGAAATCATTTTACATTGGAAAGTGCTTTGAATTTATGAGATTGAAAGATGATATGGATATTAAGAATTTCTTATGATTTATATGATATTGAGAAAAACCTCACGTAATAGATATTTATATTTCTTAATATATTCACTCATCAGTCAATTATTGACCAGCTCTTGTACACATAGCACACTATACCAAGCAGTATGTTTCAGAACTCTTGATAGGAAGGAGACTATAGTTGCTTATAATTTAGACCAACTCATTAAAACTTAAGATGTAAAATTAGTATATTTTGTTAATGGGAAAATATTCAGTGACTGATTACTCAATTTTGTTTTGTAGATCTTGGACAGTCAATATTTTATACAACTACATGTTTGCTACCCTTTCTCAATGATGATATTCTGAGTACTTTGCCCTACACGATGATCTCAACGTTAGCTACCTTTCCTCCATTTCTGCACAAGGATATTATTGAATATCTTAGCACATCTTTTCTACCAATGGCTATATGTAAGTTCAATCTTACCTAATACTAGATTATTTTTACGTATTGTACAAATGAAAATTGCTTTTGCTGTTACAGACTCTTGATTTTTAATATTTTAATGGAATCACCGGCTGTGTACATATGCTATGATTTAAATTCAGTCATTTTAGTATTAACATTATGACGAAAATCAAAGAAATGAAAGACAATTTATACCTTAGAATTGTTTTATTCACTTAGTTTTATCTTATAGAATAGGAAGAAAGAACAGGTCAAAGAAAGTCTGTATTTCCTAGTTATAAATTAAACATCTTTTGCCACATTAGAAAAAAGGTGAGAGAGTGTTGCCTCCAATGTAGAAATTCTTTCTTTTGTGTCCTAAGGCAGTAGGCTCTGGTGGAAAGAGCAACAGGTAGAGTTGGCACTTGTAGATTCTGGAACCAGCTCTGCCCCTAATTTGCTGTGAGATGGTGGGCAGCTCACAGAGCTGAAACCCCACCCTCAGACTGATCCATCAGCTTTCCCTCACAGGGGTGTTGTGATGATAAAATGAGTAAGAATTTTTGAAAACAGCTAAGGAGTCTGTATACAGGAGTCTGTACAGAACTGATTTAAATTCTTTTCCACTTTTAAATACTCAATTCTGCTGGCTTATTGGACATTAAAGCAAACACGAAAAACATTGGGTTGTGGTCTTTATGATCATGTTTCTTCTAAAATATTCTTCAGGGAAATGGATCATGGATTGATCTGTTTGTGCGGATGATCTGAAAAGATTGTGTGTTTAGGAGTCAAACAGATCTAGATTCCCCATCTCAGCTCTGCCACTGGCTAGTGTTTGGACTTAGGCAAGTTAGTTAATCTTTCTGTTTCTTACCTGTAAAATGAGAATAGTATTCACAGAGCTGTACTAATCATAGGCTGTTGTGATGATTAAGACTTTAACCTGGAACATTGGCAGAGTGCTGGCACAATACCTGCTAGCAGTAACGTTAGTTTACTTCTCTCCTTCCTCAATTTTTGTCTATAAAAATAACTTTAGGGGCTTGGGTTGTGGCTCAGTGGTAGAGCACTTGCTTAGCACATGTGAGGCACTGGGTTCCATCCTCAGCACCACATAAAAATAAATACATAAAATAAAGGTATTGTGACCATCTATAATTTAAAAAGTAACTTTATTGGGCACATTTAGCTCCTTGTGGTCATTTTTTACCATTTTAATTTTATGTACTTACGATCTTCTTAAAGTTGTTGTGGTGTATCAACAATTGGTAAATATATGCACTAATTGAGCTATATTTGTTTATTTTAAACTCAAGTTTAATTTTAGGTATGGAATTGTAATTTTCATTTTTTTTAGAGTCTGACTTTTTCCCTAAATTCTATGGTAATTTGGAAAAACTAGCAGATTTGTCATATCATTCAAATAATATAATATTTGGTTATTTTCTTTTTTTTGGTTCTCTGTAAACTTATGGACAGGTACTTCTTTGTAGATATGGTCTTAAAGTTGTATAGAGCTATTCTAAAATAAATAATGTTGGGATGGGGATGTAGCTCAATGGTGGAGCATTTGCCAGCATGTATGAGGCCCTGGGTTCAATCCCAGCACTGGAAAAAAAAAAAAAAAGCACTAGAAAAAAAATAGAAAGTCTTGTTTTTTTGAATTATGGCAGGTGAGGCTATATCTTTCTAATAACTAATCTAATTTACCGTATTCCTACTTCTTAGGAATAAGTTAATAATTTTGGGAGAGACATTGAGTATGTCAAGATTCCGAAGTTATACTTAAAATTGATCAGGTATTGTGGAGCTGGCCATTCATTTCATCACACTTGATTTTTAATTTCTACTTAATTAGAAATACAGAACCTAGAACACTAATTAACCTGAAGTCAGGTTAGAATCCTTACTCATAAAAATGTGTGAACCTTGGCAATTGAAGAGATCAAAATAGTGAGTCGAGTTTACAGAATTTGTATGAATTTTAGTGTTGATTAGAGGATAACTTGGTGTTCATTTAAAGGTGTGAACAAGTTGCTTCATGTCTCTGGAACTTAATTTTTTTAAAATTATTTTTGTTAGTTGTTCAAAACATTACAATGATCTTGACATATCATATATTATACATTTGATTCAAATGGGGTATGAATTCTTATTTTTCCCACATGTGATTGCAGGATCACATTGATTATATTTTTCAACCTTAAAGGAGGTATCTGGAAAAAAATCAATCTGTGAGGTTATTTCTGGCTTAATAGTTCTAGGTTAAATCATATTTTATATAAAAGGCACATGGCTTCCTCTAATCTAGTTGTTGATATGGTTCATGTATTTATTTTATTGTCTGAATTTAGCCTTTTAGTTTTAACTTGGATTCTTATCTCCATTTTGGTAGTTCAACATTAGACGATCTCTGTTAGTTTCAAATCTTCAAGAATAAATTGTAATGCTAACTTTTATAGTTGCATTCTGTTACACAGTTCAGATGCTGCTTTTGTGTGCTCATTATTTCACAAAGTAGGTACGAGATAGATGCCAAGATGGAAGGGATCTGGGTCCAGGTTACTCATGTCAAGATGAATTGATGTGAGAATGTGGGACTGTTCATTGTAGGAACCTTGTTTTTATTTTCTGGTGGTTGTTTCCATATCTAGAAATTCTGAGTAAAAAAACACACACAACACAGAAGGCTTTAAGTTCTCCCAGAATATTTTAATTTCAGTACCAAGGAGTTAGGATAAAGATGTTGCCCCTTCCTTCCTGCTTCTCTTCCTCCCTCCCTCCTTCCTTCCTGCAGTGCTGGTGGAACCCAGGGCCTTCTGCATGCTGGGCAAGTTATCTATCACTGAGCTACACCCCCAGGCCCAAATGTTGAGTCTTTTATATTCTTGATAAAGTGATAAAAATCTTTAAGACAGAAGGGCTCTTTTAAAAAAAATCTCTTTGGTGTGGTGTTCCTAAGGTCAAATGTAAAACACAGACAAATTTTCAGGCATTAAATGATTATATCATTGTCTGTATCACCTGGATGATGAAGTTCTGAGCTTTGGAGTGAACCTAATGAGATATTACAGCTCCTTCAGATTAAAAGGCCTTTATTTGTATCTCATTTGTCCTTTATGCCATCTTTGTTGGTAAACTATGTGCTGTGCTTTTAGTTTTAAATAACTCCTTTTGAAGTTCTGCAGAGCAAATATCAATTTATTTATTATTAAATTTTCCTTTTATATAACCTTTCTTTTTAACTCCTTCCATAAATAAAATATATTTTCTTTATTCCATATGTGTGCAATATGCTTTGTTTATTAAAAAAATAAAGGAGTTACTAAGAATTGAAAAAAAATTATTTCATGTCACCATGGAAACCTCTCTTTTTCCAATAAAGGATCTGTGATTTGTGAATTGAATTGAAATGTGGATGTTTGGAAGATAATGTCTTCCAATGAGAAAAAGCAGAGAAGAGAAAAAACTAATTCCAAATGAACCTTAATTGATGCAAACAACCTTGATTTAAAGATAGTAATAAAGCTAAAGTATTATATCAGTTCAAGATGCTTCTAGTATATCCTAGTATCTTAGACTGTGCAGGCAAATCTGGTTTCTTTTCCAAGTTAGACTTTCTGAAAAGTCAGTTACCCTCAGGAAAAATAAAGATTTGTTCAGATCTTTGCTTTGACTTAAAAGTAATTGTGTGACTTAATTGAACGTCTGGTCCCAGGCTGTTGGCCATGTGTCATTTGTTCCATTACTTTTATATAACCTTTTTAAAAAAACTATTATTGTATAGGGTGTGTGATGTTTCTGTGGTCTTCCAGAGATTAATACTTTATGGAAAAAAAGTTAAAAAAAGAGTGCAAGATACTGATGATGTTTAGTAATATTTAATATATGATGTCTATTTTATTAGCTAATGATTGTTTTTATAAGGCAGGTCTTCTATACTTTAAGAAGACCTTGTTGAATTTTGAGAAATATTTTAGTACTGGAGTTTGGAAGAACTGAATATAGTCCTTCGGCAGTTGGCAAATGTCTCAACCTCATCAAACATTGGTTCCCCTATAAAATTGTCAATAATCAAACTTCCCTTGTCCACATCCCATGTTTATTGCAAAGAAAAGGAGATAACTAACATATGAGAATGGCTTTTGAATATTCTATGACATTGTACAAGTGTATGCATAATGGATCAAATGGGTAGTCAGATCACAGATATGTTAAATCCCATTACTAATTCTAATATTCCACTGCAATTTTCATATTGCTTTGAAATTTTATCATCTTAAATATTGCTTGAGGTAGAGGGCCATCTACTAGTGGGAATTAGTTTGTTATATAATAACTGTCATTATTATGCCAGCTGTTGTGCTCCTAGAACATGTCAGAACATTTCTTCAGTGTTGAGGGCTGTCCTGCCTCTGTGACTTTGCACTAACCTGCACATCTGCAAATATTTTAATAGACTTAACCTACAGAAACTCAGGGTCATATTGTCTTGTTTTTATGTTTCACTAAAATACCCTTCTGAAAAGTGTGGCTGTCTTTTGGAGAAACCTCTCTAGTGGAACACAATGAACTCTGCTCACACAAACCCAAGGCACAAGTGCAGAAGAGACTACTTTTCAATTCAAGTGATGCAGTATGGAGAAGTTCAGGAAGTGGCTCTGTTGCGTACACCTGAATGTGTCTCTTCTTCCCAGATGATTCTCTAAGACCAGTGGGGGTTTATTTCAACATATGTCAACTCAGAGCACTTCTTACCACCATCTCTCATGTGGACCAACCCAATGAGCTGGTCCTCTGTGTTCCTTTTTAACTCTCCTGAGGGCCACTGGTCCTCTTAACTCACCTCTCTCTTCCTTTTTTAAGCCCTGCTACTGCCTGTTCACTAAAAAGCCAGAACTTTTCTCCAAGCATGTAAATCAGATCATGTCACTTCCCTCATCCAAATCATCTATCTTACTGTCACTCTTAAAAACCAATTTCAATGTCCTTAGTTGTCCCACAAGGCCCTCTGTGATCTGGCTACTGCTTACCTTATTACTTTCATTACTGCCTATCTGTGTCCACTCTTCACTATGCACATCACCTTTCTGCAGTTTCATAAAGGTACTGAGCTTTTGTGTTTTCTCTGTTTCTCCTCTGTCTCAATGTCCTTCTTCCAGATGATCTCCTGATTTGCTTCCTTATTTTCTTTAGGTCTTAGCTCAAGTGCCACATCTTTCTAGATGCCCTTCCTTTCTTTCTAGCTAATATAACTCCTGGCATTATCCTCTCTCTTCTGGCTTGCCCTGCTTTATATGTCTTCACTAGTAAGACTGAAGAGCTGAATTTTAAGTTTGATTTAGTTTTAATTTAAATATCATCAGTGGCTTGTGGCTATCATATTGGATAACACAGTTCTAGCATCTAAGTTCCAGAAGGAATGAGGACTTGTCTACATTCTTTACTATTGTATTCCCAGGGCTCAGAAAAATGTTTGGTGCATAGGAGGTATTGAGAACAATACTGGGGAATGAATAAGTGACTAGAACATTGGCTGTGAATCCAGTGTGATTTGGAATATAGTCTCAAAAATTAGATTGCAAATATTTTTTTCTCTCTTTTATAAAATGACTTTCCTTGTATACTTACTTTTTTTTTTGGTGACAAGCATAAGAGCTCTACATGATAGTACATTAGGAACTATAAAATGCAGGAGCATATTAAGAGATTTATCTTATCATGGAAAGAAGGGTGTTGGTAATGATCGTACTGGTGGTGCTGAGAAGATAGGGAATAAGACTGGAAACTTTTTTTTTTTGAGTATGATATTAAGTGTAAAATTTTCTCATTTTTTTGTGGTGCTGGGGATTAAAATTTTCTTATTTTGACTATCTTCTATTGTACATATTTTTTTAACACCCTCTTGGGGAAAAACTGCACATCTGTTTACATTATGCCTTTTAAACAAAATTCAATAAATAGTGTGTACTTGTATTTGTTTATTAAACAAGATTTGCAGTTATTTTGTTCAGTCTAGTAGAAGGCTATGAAATTGTAAGGTACCGTCTGTTTATATAAGTATTAGAGCCAATTTCCTAAGGCCAGAGCCAAAAGAACACTTTTGGCTTTATGGCTGGTCATACTTGAAGGAAGAGCATAGATTTGAAGGGGTAACAGGGACAACCAAAGGTTGCTGAGCTATTTGAGCAGTTCTCCAAATAGACTTCCCCTAAATCATCCGAGACGGTTGGGCATCACTCCCATTTTTAAAGGCCTCCAGGCACATTGACTCTCAGCCTCTCTTATCTATAGTCTTCCTGATTGAGAAATGCTTGTTTTTAAAAAATTTGAAATGAATTAAACAGAGGTGAAAATAATTGTATCAAAAAGAATGGAGATACACAAAAAGATACATTCTTTCTTTCTTGAATATGTTGGAGACTAGACTTTTTTCTTTTTCTTTAACAAGAGGCACAAAGAATATTGTCTTATTCCTTTTGATTATAAATGAGATATGTCCCCTATGTATTGTAATTTTATATAAAATAAAGCAGATTTTGAGGTTTTCTGCCAATTATTCTTCTACCCCTGGACATCTTACTGGGCATTTCCTTTCTTATTTCTCATCTCTCTACTAGAACCTCTCAAAAGGAAGTCCTTGGCCAGCTTGCATCAGAGTCACCTGGTGTGCTTATTAATTTGATATGTCTTTCCTGCTTCCCAGACTGTTATAATCTCTAGATATGGGCACCCAAGAAGCTGAATTTGAAAAAGCTCCCTGGCTAAAGCCTTAGAGCAATGCTGTCTTGTTCTTTAAATGTGTCTCCAAGTTCTTTTTCCTTAATTAATTGTATTTGATTAATCAACTTTGTCATCTAAGAACAGTATACTGCTCTCCATATCTCTGTTTAATTATTAATGCTTATTTATACTGTATAGCCAAACTAATTTATCTACCTGAATATTGGCTGCTTGGTGGGTTAGGAGCACTCAGCTGCCAGTGATTGAAAACAAACTCAATGGAATTATGGAACTATGGATTTGCTTTGTTTGTTTTTGTAAAGCTTTTGTGAAAGCAGCCATCCATTATGGGTACTGAAAGTTCTTTGTATTAAAAAGAAAAAAGAATCATGTTAAACATTGTTTCCTTTATTATGTGACAGATCTTTCATTGGTATTTTGATGGTTCTACTATCACATGTTTTATAAAACTGTCATCTTTTTGGATGTAAATGAGATATGTTCCCTGTGTATTGTAATTTTATATAAAATAAAGCAGATTTTGAGGTTTTCTGCTTGCTGGTTGTTGCCAAAGTCATGGTATTTCATGTTCAGGAAATTGAGAGTTGCCTCTTTGAGGGTTTTATACTTCCTGCACACTGTTCTGTTCATGCTTGACAATTTGCCACATAAACCTAGGAATAAGAGGTATCTTGTACTTTTGCAATTATTCCCCAGAAAAGGAGAATCATTTTACATTCAAATCCTAATAAAGGTCTTCCTATTATGGATTCTTTCTCAATTACTGTGCTTGGGATAATAAAGTACCCTTTAGAGACAACACAATACTTCAAGTGACTTCTATCAGTGCTTGATGTGAATACTTAAAGGAGTTATTTGATGTACTCTATTAAAAAAAAGACAATGAAATTTAATATAGTGTTTAATATTGCCATGAAAAAACCACTTAAAGATCTTTTAAAAGCAGTATGTAAATGGAAATCATGGGTTTACATATGTAAGACAGGTTTTCAATAAAACAACTTTTGCTCTGTGATTGATACTTGTTGATGTGGGATAAAATGTCCAGCAATGGCATTATTCACAGATTCAAAAGGTGCTTTATTTCAAACTCAGATGGATTTGAAGATGGTAAGTTTTGTAAAACTTAACAAAGTAGTGATTCTCATGGTAAAGAAGACAATAATGATAAAGTTACATATGAAGGTTTGAATAAAACTGATGATTTATGAGCATTGAAAATAATTTTAAAATTAATATTGTATTTTTATAACATGATTTAAAATTTCTATGTGTAACTAAGAAGTTGCATGTTATACTAACCTTATTTCATCTGCATCTCTAGATAATTTAGTAATTCAAGTTGGGTTTAAGAACATTTTACTTTTCTTTTCCTTATTGGGACAACCTTCAGTAGTCCTTCTTTATATCTGAGCACATAGAAGATTTTTTTCCCTTTCTTTTCCATCTAGCCATAAACATATTGGAAGTCATGATCATATCTGAGCATGGCTCTGTTAAAGCCATTATGTCACATTCTGGCATTGTTCCTTCTTGGTGATACTCTGTACATGTTTGCTATGATGTTGACAACTGTTGCATTTGTATACAAGGAAAATTTTATGAGTTTTATTTGTGTAAAGTTTCATTGGCTGACTGGGACTTTCTTTTTAAGTTCCTTCTTAGTTCCCATGCTCTATGTGAAGCAGCAAGTATATATGTATATATATGTGTATCTATCTCTCTATCTATGTATAGACTAAATTGTGTCTAATCAAAGAAATTTTGGTTTCAGTGGGTTCCTCCAGGAGAGAAGGTGTTCCTGCACATGTTAATCTGTCTGCATCCTCCATGCTAATGATTGCAATGCAGTACACATCTAATCCAGGTAAGTGGAAATCTGTCTTGACTAATTCCAAAACCAATCATTAAGTAATATGTTAAATAAATAAGCTAGAAGTTTTCATGTGAGAACTTCTCTTGGTGGATTTGGCAATTGGAGGTGTGTTAGAAAACAGATTTTTGATTTAAAATAAATTTTCCTTGCCTATTGTTAAAAGTAATTAATGCTCTTGCAACTAGTAGTTTTTTTTTTAAGAATGTTTGAGGACAAAATTTTAGAACATTGACTGGAATTTGATTGAATATAAATATATAGAAATAGTTCAATTAGAAATATAAAAATATCTAATTCTAACAACTAAAAATAACTTTGGTTAATAATTTGACAAGTTTGGTCCTCCAATGTCGTACCAATGTCCTTGAACACAAACCTTTTACTACATTTCTGATTATTTTCTTTAGAATAAATTAATAAAAGAAGGATTCATGGGTTAAAGGGCTTGAAAAAATTTCAATATTCTCAATAGTTGTATTTGAAAGTACTTGTCTCATTATGACTGGTCACTGAGTATCATCATAAAATTTGTAGAGTTGAATAGATTAAAAAATCTCATTTTGATTTTTATGTCTTGGATTACTAGTGTTGTTGGACAGGTTTTATATAACTTGCTCTATTTGATTTCCATTTGTCAGTATAATTTCAGATGAACTTTGGCGAGCTGATCTAAAAAGGAGCTGACTATAGGAGTCATATGCTGAGATATGAACTCAGTTTTTTTTCAGTTATTGTTTATTTGGAAAGTGAATAAATATTATAGCACTGTTTTAAACCTTCTGTTTAATTAAGTACAATAATAATTGAGATTCTGGAGTTTTTGACTGAAGAATGAGGAAATTTTTTTTTCCATTTCAAAATCTTAATGCTTCTTAATCTAGAGTGTTGGCCTTGAACTTTTTTTTTTTTTTTAATTGAGATGATGTCTTGCTATTTTCCCTAGGCTGGCCTCTAATTCTTGAGCTGAAATGATCCTTCCACCTCATCTTCCAGCTAGCTGGGATTAGGAAGTACACTAACTCACCCAGCTCTCATCCTTTGCCTTAGTTTTTTTGGGCTGCCATAACAAAAATACCATAAACTGGGCAGCTTACATATAACATTTACTTTTTATAGTTTTGGAGGCTGGGAAGTCCAAGATCAAGGTACTGGTAGATTTAGTGATCTGGTGCTTCCAGATTCACAGATGGTCATTCTTGTTTTGTATTCTCTCATACGGAAGGAGCAAGGGAGTTCTAATTCCATTAATCCCATTCATAAGGGTCTCACTTCACTTCCTAATACCATTACATTGGGTGTTAGGATTTAACATATGAGTTTTAGGGAGATACACATATTCAATCTTTGGCATTCTATCACTGTCCCCAACCCCAACTTCATGTCTTTCTGACATGCAAAATACATTCATTCCATTCTTACAACCTCAGAAGTGTCAATTCATTTCAATATCATGTCAAATGTCCAAAGTCCAACATCTCATATAAATATCATCTAAATCAGATGTAGGTAAGACTTGAATTATGATTTATCCTGAGATAATTTTCTTTCCAGCTGTGAACCTGTGAAATCAAATAAATTATATGTTTCTAAAATAAAATAAAAATGATGGGGACTTGAGTTGCAGACACCCAGTGTGGAGCATTTACCTAGCGTATGAGGAGTACTGGGTTCTCTTCCTAGCACCATCAAAACAAATACAACAGTGAGACAGGCATAGGATGGACATTCCCATCCAAAAGAGAGAAATGTTAAAAAAGAAAGGAATGACAGGTTCTATGTAGGTCCAACACCCCAAAACATTAAACTTTAGGCTTGAGAAAAATCTTTGACTTGATGTTCTTCCTTCCCAGCAGCTTTGCTGGGTAAGGGTTGGGCTCCAAGGCTCCAGGTGGTCCTGCCTCATGGCTTTAGGGAGCCTGGCCAGCATGGCTCTCCTGACATTGCTCGAGAAGGGATTTCCATGATAATCCTGCTGCCATGTCAGTTTTCTGCCTCAGCCTTCTCTGACAGGCTGGGTCCTGTGCTCATGACTCTCTTGGGCTCCACTGAAATCTAGGTGGAAGCCCTCACAGCTTTGTCGGTGCAGCACATGCTATGCTGGGGACAAAGGCACTTCACTGAGGGCCAGCTGAAGCACAAGGCATCAGAGTGTAGGAACTGGAAGCAGTCAGCAGTGAGGTGGGCCAAGTGGCAGGTGTGAAGTCCCCCAAGTGTGGGTGGCTTCTTCTTTTCTTCTTTTTCCGCCCCCTGGTATCTGGGATTGAACCCAGGCACACTTATCCACTGAGTCACATACCCTGACCCTTTTATTTTTAATTTTGAGGCAGGGTCTTGCTAAATTGCTGAGGCAGTCCTTGAACTCGTGATCCTTCTGCTTCAGCCCCCTGAGTTGCTGGGACTGTGAGTGCACCACTGTGCCAGGCAGCTCTGAGGATTCCTAAAGTGTCATCCTCCCTCATCTGGGGCAGCAGCTCCTGCCTTCTCCTGGGAAGGCTGGCTGTCGTTAGTTTCTGTTCAGTAGACTGTTTATTAGTTGCTTAGTTGTGCCCTTAGTGTTCTCCTCCTAACAAGTTTTTCTCATTCTTTTAATACAGATAAGCAGAGAATTTCCCAAATCTTTAACTTTTGCTGCTTTTTTGATTAACATTTCTGTCTTTAAATCATTTCCCACTTCAGGAATTTTACTGTAAGCAGAGATGCCAGGCTGCTCTTTCAGCATTTCTTTAAGAACTGTACTCAGCCAGATAGCCAGTTTCATCACTCAAAAATTCTACCTTCCACCAAACACTAGGACATCAACATAACTCAGCCAGGTTCTTTGCCACTGTGTCACAGGATGGTCTCTCTTCCAGCTTCCAATATTGCCTTCCTTATTTCTGTCTGACACCTTATCAGAACCGCCTTTACTGTCCATATTTCTACCAACATTCATTCAGGATCACTTAGGCATTCTTTAAGAAGATGGAGGCTTTCTCAATGGCTCTGTTCTTTTTTATCTGAAACAGTTAAAAAGGTCCATTCATAGCTATGTAGGCTTTTCTAGAACATACCTCAAAACTCTTGTAGCTCCTATATATTACTTAGTTCCAAAGCTGCTTCTGCATTTTTCAGTGCTGTTATAGCAACACCCTACTATTCAGTGCCATTTTTCTGTCTTCCTCTGTTTCAGATACTATAACAAAAATACCTTAAGCTGGGTGGCCTGTGTGTGCAATAAACACTTATAGTTCTGGAGGCTGGGAAGTCTAAGATCAAGGTGCTGGCAGATTCAGTGGTCTGGTGAGGACCCACTATGTGGGTCATAGATAACCATCTTTGTCTATGCCCTCACATGGCAGAAAGAGCAAGGGAATGCTGAGGCCTCTTTTATAAGGGCACTAATTCCATACATGAGTGTTCTGCCCTCATGAGCTAATCATCTCCCAAAGACTCCCACCTTCTAATACTACCACTAAATTTAACATGAATTTTGAGGGAGCATATTTAGTCCATAGTATTTTTTAAGTATAAAATGATTTATGATTATCATATGGATTTAATTAAAATGTATGTTTGGGGGAATGTTATATCTCACATTTCACTGTTTAGCTTCAAGGACCATCAAAATATCATTTACATTTAAGATCTGTTATGTTCTGAAAAAAAACCCCTTAATTTGAATCTAGTTAATTAAAGTCTTACCATGTAATAAAAGATTGTTACTCATTTATGTATTTAATTTAAAAATAAAGTCTTATCATGAAGCCTAGATTCTAACATTGAATGGTAAAATCCTGTACTTTGAGGTACTTTGAGGTACTTTGTATATGGATTTGTATCTGTATATTACCTATAAATGACAGTGCCGTGTGGAGCAAGTTCTTTAACTTTCCCAAGATCATGTGTCCTCATCTCTGAAATAGGAATAATTCTTCTTATAGTACTTTAAAATGTTGTTTTGAATTTGTAGTGAGTTAAATATAGGTAAAGTGCTTGGCACAGTGACAGGCACATTGTACCAAGTAAAAGAAATGCAAATTCTATGGTTTGGCATTTTCTTCATAGAACTGAATATTTTTATCTGAATATTTTTATCTCTACTGTGATCAGGTAGAATTATTTATCAGATTATTTCCAATGTATTTTCATCTGTTCATGGGAAATGCTTATAACCAGCTATTTTATACTAGGAATTACAGTTCTGGCCCCAAATAGTCTTGTGATACGGGAAACAATTAAAAAGTAGAGCAAAATCCACTGGGGCCGAGTACACAGACATCATTCTATTGTTTAAATTTTTTTTTCTTAATCTTATGGCTTGTCTTTTTTAAAAAAAATTTTATTTGTTTTAATTAGTTACACATGATAGTACAATGACCTTGACATATCATACATTTGAATCAGATGGGGTATAATTTCTCATTTTTCTGAGTGTACAGGTTGCAGAATCACATTGGTATATACACACAGCAATAATAATGTCTATTTCATTCTACTATCCTTCCTTTACTCCCATCCCCTCCCCTCCCCTCCCCTCCCATCACTTCTTTCTATCCAATCTAAGGTGACGCTATTCTCTCTCTCTTTTTTTTCCTCACATCTTCATACATGTATTTTGTATAATGATGAGGGTCTCCTTCCATCTTCCGTGAGATTCCCCTTCTCTCTTCCTTTCCCTCTCACCTCTCTTCCCTATCTAGAGGTATCTTCTTCCCATGCTCCCCCCCCCACCCCGCCCCTTATATCAGAGAAGACATTTGGCATTTGTTTTTTTGGGGGATTGGCTAACTTCACTTAGCATAATCTGCTCTAATGCTATCTATTGTTTAAATATTTATTGAGAGAAGCAACAAGTGGCAGCTTGTTTCTTTTAGCTGATTATGTGTCAAGGACAGAGCAGAGCACTTCCTCAAGTAAGAGGAAGGTTATTCATTGAATAACCTCCATGTACAGGATTCTCTGTTAGAAATGATGATAACCACACAGAAATACAAAATATGACTCTTCTTGTGGAACTTATTTAATTGGGTCAGTTGGGCATATTTATTTAAGTCATTAATTAACCATGTAAAGGGTATGTGGAAAGTGCCAAATAAATGCTATAGATGGTGTTAATTAATCATGGGGGAGAACTCCATGAATTGAAATGATCAGGAAAGGCTTTATGTTCCTTGAGCAAAGAAAATATGGATAGAGTTTTGATTGATAGGATAAGTAAGACATTCTGTGAGGGAAACAGTTTAAACAGAGGAACTTTCCAGGTCTGTTCAGGGAGCAGTAGGTGGAATACTCAGAGGATCATGTAGCAGAACACGCAGACAGACACTGTATAAGAGAAAATGTCTTGGAACATGTGTATTTAAACACTCAGTGGTGGCTTAAAGACAACATTCCATTTCTAGAGTAACTATTCAATACATTGTCACTGAATATGGGACTCTATGGTTAATAAAACAAAACAGATCCCACCTTCATCTTGTGACGCATATTACATTTTGGAGGAGGGGAAATATATTAATCAAGTAATTATAAAACCAAGGATAAAATTTCAGTTGTGACAAATGCTTGAAGTACCTTGTATTATAAAACTCTATGAAAAGAAATTTTGCTTTTGTTGAGGAGTTTGGTGGGGGCTTCTTAGAGGAAGCAAGTTTTGGTACAAGAATTGAATAACGAGTGAGTTGTATTAAAAAGATCTACAGGATGGGAGTGAGACAGAAGTTCAGGTGGCAGAATCTTGTGTCAAGAAGGAGCCTGGCAAGCCAGTGAGACTGAAAGATCAGTGTAGATGGAACTCTAGGGGAGGGCTAGCTAGTATGAGCTGAGAGTTAGAGAACATTCAGGATGTTGTAGGCTGTGTTAGGCAAGAAGTCCTCTGTTTATATCATATCTAATGGGAATCCACTGAGGGGTTTTAAGTAGATGCAATGGAGAATGGAATGAGAAAGGGCCAGATTGGGTGTAGATGGACTGGTAAGGCACTCATTGCATTTGTTCAGGCATGCATGTCAAAGGCAAGGACAATTGAAATAGAAAAAAAAATGGATCTACTGAGAGCTATTTATGAAGTCAAATTGATAGGACTTGGTGACATATTGGATCTAGTGGGTTTCTTCTGACTTGCTCTAACTAGGCATGGAGGTTATATTCATTGATAAATGAGGCACCAGAAGATGAGGCTTCTGAGGGAAGAGCAAGAGATCTGTTTTGGACATGCTGTGTTCAAGAAGCCTTTGAGACATCTCAGAGGAGATGGTAATTAGCTAGTTGTGTTATAGTTTTGGACCTCAGAACAGAATTCTAGACTAGAGATAATGAATTCTGAGCCTACACCTGAGTGTCAAATGACCTCATCCAATTTCACATAGGTGGCTTCTGTAGTTAATATGAGCGTGAGATTGCTTGGGGGAGAGTGCAAATGAAAAGTAGAGTGTTTCTTGGTTCAGGCCTCTAGGAACTCCAATAGGAAGTGGACCTGTGCAAGAGGGTGAAGTTGCCAAGGAGATTGAGAGTTTCCTGCTTAGCTAACAGATACTTTAAACTACATGTACAAATGTGTAAGAAATCCCACTATTATAATATTCATATATAATTATACATAATTATAACAAACCAATTAAAAAATGAAAACTGAAATAAAAGCTGCAAAACACTTTTGTGGTTTGCTCAGTAGGAAGTCTTAAAGTTAGCTCTACAGTATCAAGGGCTGAGATAGCATCTTTGTGTTTCCTTAGATTTTCCTTCACGTTTGTGCAATGGCTGCCACAGTGGAGGTCATTATTTCCTCAGACAACCACATTCAAAAACAAGATGAGTTAGAGTCGTTAGAAAAAGGTCTCCTGGTTGGCCCTTTTCTTTTAATCAAAGAGGAAAACAATATGAGAAGTTCCCTAGAAGTTTTCTCTCTTAGGTCCTACTGGCAAGGATGGAGTCCTGTAGCTGCAAGGGGATTTGGAAAAGTCTGTGCATTGGCAGATGACAGGGAAAAAGGGGTTGTTGATAGCAGTGTCCAACACAGGTGATAGGAGAGGGTCATGTCACAACAGGAAGCCATGGGAAGAGAGTGATTTAAAAAACAACAGTGGTCAGCAGCACTGAATGCCACTGAGACATCAGTGAGATGCAGACTGAAAACCATCCACTGAACCGAGTGCCATGGGGTCACTGGTGGCTGAAGTGAAAACAATGTCAGGGTGATGATGGAGCTGGAAGGTAGAGCAAAAAGGCATCTAACTAGGATGACAGTGTCTTTACTCCTCAAGTGAACATGGGAAATCAAGGGAGCTTGTTGCTGTGTAGCTCTGAAAAAATTCTTTCCCAAAATGGAATTACTGCTTGCTCTAGTCAGCTGTTTTGCTGCTGTGACTAAAAGATCTGACTAGAACAATTTTTAAAAAATGTTTATTTTTTATTTATAGGTGGACACAATATCTTTATTTATTTATTTATGTGGTGCTGAAGATCAAACCCAGTGCCTCACACATGCTAGGCGAGCGCTCTATCGCTGAGACACAGCCCCAGTCCTGACTAGAACAGTTTTAAAGGAGGAAAGGTTTATTTGGGGGCTCACAGTTTCAGAGTCTCAGTCCATAAAAGGCTGGCTCATTCCTTGGGGCTCTAGGTGAGGCAGGACATCATGGTGCAAGACTGTGAGGGAGGGAAGCAGCTTTCATGGTGAATAGAAAGCAGAGAGGGGTCTCCACACTCCAGATACAAAATATACACCCAAAGCCACACCTCAATTCCCACCTCCTTCAATTACCCCTCAGTTAATCCCTATTGGGATTAATTCACTGATTGGGTTAAGACTCTTATAACCCAACCATTTGTCCTATGAATCTTCTTACATTGTCTCACACATGAGCTTTTGGGGGACACCTCACATCCAAACCATAACACTGTTCAAGTGATAAAACTCTCATTCTAATCCCATCAGTCTGTCGGTTGCTATCTGTCCATCTTTGGGCAAGATAGGAAGCTATTTTCTGAACTGAAACATGGAGGGTGTGAGATAATATTCCATAAAGCTTTTAGCCTGATACTTGGTACATAATGAATTCTCAATAAATGAGCTTTCATTACGATCCTGTTTTCCCTTCTCTGTAGTTCTTTATTGCATGATACAAGTTTATGTTGCAGAAATATGATCACTAAAGACTTTTATTAACATGTCTAGTAATATGATATGTGTCATACTTCTCAAAGACCTTGAGTAAAGCTTGATAAGTCAAGAGATTATGGTATTTTTGAAAATATGAATATGTGGCAATAAGTAATTAACAATTTAATGATTGGAATTGGAAATCATATTAAAGTAGTTTATGTATCTCAAAGGATGTTTAGTATTTACATTTCATGTGCACATTACATTTTCTTCTTACAGTGTATCATTGTCAGTTACTGGAATGCCTCATGAAATATAAACAAGAAGTCTGGAAAGTAAGTTTGGGGTCAAATTTAACCCATAGTCACTACATTAACTTATATAAAATGGTAAAAGTTATTTGCATATTGTATCTGTTGCTTAGGTCAAAGCTATTATTGTCTTAGTTTTCTTATGTGGCAGTGGATATTCTTTTTTCTTTACTAAACTATTATTTAGAACAGTGTCTTGACAGATAAAGTAATTAAATACATCTTATTCTTGAAATTAGGCAAATATTATGCTGTATGACACGTATTTTTTTTAATTTGAAAAGTTGAGAATCTGCTTTCTTTCAAACAGGAGATGTGAATTGTTAAGAAATGTGATTAGGAAAATATTTTTTTAAACGGATGTATGTTATTTTAAACGCTTTCTTTGAGTTGGGGTATCGCTCAGTGGTAGAGTGCTTGCCTAGCATGTGCAAGGCCCTGAGTTCCATCTCCAGCACTGCAAACAAAACAAAATCCCTAAAATGTTTCTTTAAGATGAATCTAATTTGGGAAAAATTTTTATAAGACAGTGTACTTTTGAATTCTGCCCAGAGGGATCATTTATAGAAGAAAAAATAAATGAGCAAATAATGAATAATTATAATGCTATAATGTGGTCTAAACTGTGAAGCACACCTGGATGATGGATTCCAGAAAAGTGACCCACCTCATCCTCTCCACTGGAATTCCCATGCTCTAGTAATATTGAATGAATATTTATTGTTATTTGATGGTGCTAAGTCAAAATATGCTTCCTGTTTCCTGTAGGACCTTTTGTATGTTATTGCCTATGGGCCTTCACAAGTGAAACCTCCAGCTGTGCAAATGCTTTTCCACTATTGGCCCAATTTAAAACCTCCCGGGGCAATAAGCGAGTACAGGGGGTTGCAGTACACAGGTAAGAAGAGAAGAGGCCTGTGATGCCCCGTCTCTATTTCTCCTATGCCACATGTGGCTCATGGATTTTAAAAAAAGTCTTGCGGGATTATATTTACTGTGCCTTTAAACACTGTCATAAATCCTTTCTGAAACTAGGTGGTTTAAAAATAAATTAACTGGCCAGTTGTGGTAATCCAGGCTACTTGAGAGGCTGAGACAAGAGGATCCCATGAGCCCAGGAACTGGGGGCCAGCCTAGGAAACACAGCGAGAGTCCCATCTCTTAAAAAAAAATACAATAACTAAAACCAATTTCAAAAGTATTTATGATATCATAGCAAACTGCCAAAGTTCCAATCCCATTTGCTATATACAGCTGGCCTACAGTTGTAGCTATTGATAAAATTAATCACTTCATAAGCCTGAATGGTAAGAGTAGTACTATGCATTTGCTCATCATTTAGCAGAAACTCCAGCTGGCTAATTCTGCTCTGAGATTCTTGGCAGCACTTTCAGTGGTGTTTCCATTTTATGCACTAAATAAAAATTAAGTGATCCTGATAGCACCATTGATCAGGAAGAGTCAATAATTGATGAGTCTTGGTAATTAATCATGTGACCTAAACATTAATTTTAAATGTAATGACATATCTACCAAAAAACCTTGCAAAACAAACAAATTCGAGGTCCTACATTGTTATTTTTGTTTATGTGTTATAAAAACGAAAGGGTGAAAATCCTTTATGGCAAATGGAGTTTCAAAGCACAATCCCACCCCCCCAACTCCCCTACCCAGCTTAATTGAACACATGTTTTTCTGAGAATGGGAGGGGTGGGTGTTTTTGCAAGGGCAGCCTTTGTTCAGATCATTGTGAGTGTGTACTAATGTTCTGAGACTTTACTAATTTGTTGGCATCACATCTTTACAAAGGTGATTTGAGTTGGTTCTAAGAGGATTTAACTTATTTTAGGTGTCTGATTTATATTCTTGATGAAAGATTTAAAGCCAAGTGTTACTAACACCTATTATTTGGGCTTTGATGGTCCTGTGTGGGCTTATTTTACCCAGACTAAAGGTGGGTACAAGAATAACAAAACAATTAAGATAAATAATAAGTAAATTTTTTGAAGTTGGAAATTGGCATCATTGGTATTTTATATCATCAATAGAGAATGTTTCAGTGTTGCTAACTAGATAATATAAATGTAAAAATTAGCAAAAATGTTGAACACATTAATAGAATAAAAGGTGAAACTATTGAAGTATTAGACACCAAACCTTTCTTATTAGGTCCCTGAAATAAGCACATGTGTGATGTTTGAATGGATAATCAACATCAAATGAAGTTTATTTATTTGATGAGTAGCTACTATGTTCCAGACACTATCCTTTTGTTGATGATATAGGAACCAACTCAAAACCAGACCTCATGGAGCTTAATACAATCTGGATGTGAATCATTCATTTTATTCCACACATGTTTTTGGGGTGCCCATTATTATTAGCCAGGCATTATTCTGGGTACCGATGGCAAAGCAGTGAATTTAACAGACTAAAGTCATTAATATCTTGGAGCTTACATCAGGTTGTGGGGGAACTACCTGGACACTATAAGTGCTAAGGTGGAGCAAATACAGAGAGCTGTGGGAACACATAGAAGGGTCTCCAAACCTACCCTGATGGTGGGCTAGTTTGGGGAGGTGCATTTGTTAAGGAAGGTTCTAAGTAAAGTGCCGAAGTCTGGGCTTGGCACAAGATCACGAGCCACCACACAGCTTTGTAGGTTCAAACAGCAATTCTTTATTCCCGATCTCACACCGCCTCCACACAGGTTCAGGGGCAATCCCCATCCACCCCCACAATTCACATCCTAAATACTTTCTCTCCACGAGAACTCAGCAACTCAGCGGGAACTCAGGCAGCAGGCACGCCCTACTCCCAGCAGGAATAATCTTCAACCTCCAACTACCCTAAAACTCCTGTAAAGGACATTTGAGCTAAAACCTGAAGTATCAGTGTGTACACACTAGATGTCAGAAGGGAATAAATGTAAGTGTGAGGCAAAAGGAAATCCATGGTTCAGAGGTGGAGGTCAAGAATAGCAGGGTAGTACTCAGGAACTGGAGAAAGTCAAATGTAGCTCCAGACAGTGGAGCTAGAAGAGAGCACTGAGAGGTAGGCAGAAGGGTTGACAGAGCCTGTGAATGGGGTTTGGATTTTACACTATGAGCAAAGGGAAACCAGGTGCAGGTTTAAATGGAGAAGCCACTTGAAGACATTTGCCTATCCAGAGTATTCCATAATTCCAGCGCACTGACAGTCCCTTCCACTTACTGTGTGGCCATACTTTCTATAAAGGTCAGACAAACCTGTCTTCCCCAAATAGCTTAGGTCATGCCTACTAGGATCAGAGCATCTCTTTCATCCTCTCTTGAGTTGTTTGACCAAGACACGGTTGTCTCCGGTCCTTCTTGAAATTGTATGTCCATGCTTCTGTTCATTCAGCAATGTATTAGGGGCACCTTCCATGTGCCAGGCCTTATCTCAGGCCCCTGGGAGGTAGCTCTCTTACAATTTCCATTCTGGTAGACCATGGAATTCCATGCAGGGAACAAAAGATCATGGAAAATTAATCATTTTGGTCTTTATATTACTATGTATCCAGCATAAGCTGTTTGTCAGACATTGTTCTAGCTGCTTGCTATCTAATTTTTCAGCCTTCTAATTGAACACTATTTATGGACTAAGCCCCACAGTAGATCTTTTATACTTTCTCAATTCATCTTCACAAAAATTTTCAGCAGTAGGTTTTCTTATTTCAATTCTGCAGATGATGAGTGGGAAACAGAATTTAAGTCACATGCCTTCTTTAACACAGATAATGAAGGGACAGCTTGAATTTAAACTTCACATTTTCTCTTCTAACAGTGTGATGTCACTTTTATGAATTCAGTTCTTAATTAAATTTTAGCTAAAGCATTAGAATCTTTCTTCAATACCCGCTGAAATGAAAAGCATACCAAAGGATGTATAGTTAGATGGCACTGCAATCCCAAATATTCTCAATAATAAAATTTATATAGAGATAGGATTTTATGGGCTTCAAAGCTCAAAGATGAAATCTTTCTTAGGGGCCAGCAATTTTTGTATGTTTTCCCAGTGATTTATTTCTTTTTTGAAAAGTAAATTTATTTTTTATGAAAGGAAATAATTGCTTATAGAAAAATTAAACCAACATGTAAGAAGGAAAAAAAATATATTGCCACTTAGAAATGACCACTGTTAACATTTTGGTATATTTCTCTCAAATTTTGACACATGTTTTAAAGATAATATGGCATAAAATGATACAAGTTTCCCCTCAACTTTTATTGTATATTTCAAATACAGAGACATTTAAGGAATTATACTATGAACACATATAGCTTTAATAGTTGTTATTAATTTGATGTAATGTATATAAACTGTATTGCTTTTTTGGGGGGTACTGGAGATGGAATTCAGAGACACTCAACTTCTGAGCCACATCCCCAGGCTTATTTTGTATTTTATTTAGAGACCAGGTCCTCACTGAGTTGTTTAGCACCTTGCTCTTGCTGAGGCTGACTGAATTCTCCATCCTCCTGCCTCAGCCTCCTGAGCTTCTGGGATTACAGGAGTGTGCTACCGCACTCATCTAAACTGCATTGCTTTTTAAACATAGTTAACAAAAATATTTACAACTTATATGAAGAAGATAAAATAATGAGGATTTAGAGATCCAAAATGTTTACTTATTTTTGTTTTATTGATATATACAACAATATACACCAATTTTGATTAAGTATGAGTGTAAAAGATAAAAAAATTGGAGTCTCATATATTTTATGTATAATTAAAATATTTTTCTCCTGTTTAAAAAAACATACAAAAGATTATAACAAGTTGATAATGAAAATAACCATTATATTATTTTAAGCAGCTCTGCTTCTGTAAGGGAGAAAGTAATTACTTAGCAATTTTCTTGTTATAGTGTCCCAACTAATAAATAATTTAGCCTTTGTAGCAAAGAATACCACCAGTTGTTGTTTAGTTTAGATTTGCACTATAAGACAAAAGATGTGGCATCAGAGTTACATTTCTAAGACAGAGACTTTTGCTAAAAATAGGGAATAACTAGAAGGTTAAACTTAGGCCTGTCTACCACATATCTAACTCCACATTAGTATTGTTGGATTCTTGAGTACAAGCAGAAGAAGGTCCATCAGTCCTTTACTCCTCATTATTGAGTTCTGAGTTATCTTTTCTGGCTGAGGATTGAACTTACTGTACCACTGAGCCCAACACAGTTATCTTTTTATTATCTTGATTTTATCCTCATATAATTAAAATGTTTTAAACTTTTTTATTGGTGCATTAGACTCATGCAGAAGACCCTCATAAATTATTTGTATGTGGAATGTCTCTCACAATGTGCCCCCTCTCAATAATTATCTCTTTCTTCTTCCAACACCAGAGATTAGATTTGTCTGTTTTTGAGTTTTATAGAAATGGAAGTATCCATTATTTATTTAATTTGTGTGTGTGTGTGTGTGTGTATGTGTGTGTATGTATGTGTGCATGTGTGTATATGGCCCATGGTGCTGAGGATAATTGTACTTTATTAATTTTTATTGCTATAGATAGTCTATCAAATGAATATGCCATGTTTACCTATCTCTTCTTCTATTCATGGATATTTGCGCCCATTACAAATAATACTGCTATGAACATCCTTCTGTATGGTTTTTGGTATAAAACTGCATGCAGTTCTGTTGGGTGTATGCCTACAATGGAATTACACACGATCAAGAGGGTGCTCACATGTCTAACTTTAATGGAAAATAGCAAACAACTTTCTAAAGTAGTTATAATAATTTTTATTCCAATTATCAGCATATGAATATTATTTTTATCTTATAATTCCACATTTTGGGAATACTTTGTTTTGTTAACTTAAAATATTTTAGTCATTATCAAGGATGTGTTGAAATATCTTAT